AAAAAGTTATAACCCGCTTTGTTGACGGTACTCAAATATCAATGACACGGTTCTTTATCATTACACAAACACGATCAACCGTTTTACTGTAAATGTCGTTTAATGACCCATTTAGTTGACATCCATTCTATAAAAATGAATATCTAGCTAAACATAATATCAAAACTTAAAATGACTCGATTCGCTGACAATCGTCGTTATCCCAAATTACAACTTGCACCGCAAAACGAAGTAATGACACATATTCGAACAGAGACAAATGCCTGCCTAAAACAACATTACGTGACTGTTTACATTTACATACAGAAACATTCCTCGCTACAAAAAAACATCCCGATAACTCTCCCTGTCAAAGAAATTTCAATTTTGCACCCTATTGATTCAGTATTCTAATAATATGTTATTTGGAGTATATTTGGGTAAGTAAGTAAACCAATTCTTTTAAGAAACGTGTGGCAAATGCATACTTCAAATGACATGAAGAATTCCCGTGAGAAGCTTGCTGACATGTCACGCAAAAACAATAATTTATCGCATACTTTCATTTGTGAAACAATAAATAGTTTCAAAAAAATGAAAGTTTCAATGAATTTCTATTTCATTAAAGATTTGAATCTGGTCTAGCACATTAATATTGGTTAAAGTTTGTTTGTTACGATACACAATTTGGTTTAATGATCTACGCAAGCGCTGGCATTAATGGTTGAATAAATAAAGCTGGTTGAGGGTCAAACACTCAGGTTGGATTTAGCCAAGCGCTGGACAAAGTCCTTCGCACTTGAGATAGCTGGCACCCACTCAATGAGAAACAAATATTGGATCAACTCCATGGGGTAGAGGGAGGGATTATGGCGGAACACACTGCAGTGTGACACACCTTTCAATCTGTGGTTGTTGCTCTGACTGACATTCATACTTAGTGTCATTATTGTACTCAAAAAACATCTTTCTGTTTATAGACTGGCAATTTGAAAAGAACTGGAAGAAGTTATCCATCTCTCACGATGACTAGGTGCAGAAATAGAAGGCGTATCATTACCATTCTCACAGTTTCAGAATGTCGTTAGATGTTGTAACAAGTTTGGGATTGTTTCATTCTTTGTCTCTTTACTAGCTCTAGCTCTCTCTGTGCCGTTCACTTGTCCTTAATTTTTTCACTTGCCATTATTGTGTTTTGTTTTGTTTTTCGTTTTGTGCCTTGAGCGTGGTCAGAGGGAGATGGAAATAAAGGTCTCTTAAGAACAATACATTTGGCAACAAAATTATTTTCAAAATCATGCAGTTTTCACGATTCTTAGCATTTTTCATGTAATTTTGGGCCAAATTTGTCGAAGTGAATCCCCTGGAATTTTTCTCAAAAACTGGCTACGGGCCTGAACAGCCATGATTGTCTTAAATGTGGTAATGTTGATTGATATCTTCAAAAAGTAAATGGCAACAAGAATTTATAGTGTCTTTACTTTACGTATTATAGACATATGATGCATATGCATCATTGGTTCTGTGTGGTATCTTTCGGTGTTCAGATAATTTGGACCAAGAATTCGAAAGAGAATCGAAATGAAAACAATGAAGAAAATCTGGTTTGGATAGTTTGCACTCTTATAATGGCTTATAAATATCTTTTGACAGAATTAATTTGCAGGGGGGCTTCATCCACATATCGCAGCAGCTACGGATCTTTGGTAACGTAATACTAATTGTTCTTTCCATCAATATTGGGAAAGGCTATGTCAATATACTATGCAAAAGGTTACGGTGATCTTGCAATCGTAGGTCTTTAATGAACGATTGCTTTGGAACCTTATACTTGGCAACCATGTGAAGAAGGTTCCATCAAGCTAATGACGTAACAACTGTTGCTGACAGGGGTTAAGAGAGTCTTAAAGGCTTCAAGTGGAACGACAATCAACCTGGCGCGAAAATATAAGCTCTGCGTACATATACCTTTCAATCAGTTTGTTTTAGGTTAAGCTTTAAGGAAATGGGATCTAAAAATTCCAGGCGTTGTTACCAAATTTTTAACAGTGAAAGGTCGTAAAGACAAATTGTTCGATTGATTTCTCTTCGCAGCGTATTCGATTAGCTTTTATTAGAGAATACAATACAGTCCATGTTCGCACCCTGCCTCTGGCTATTTGAAGCAGTTTGCAAACAAAAACTTCCTAGCGTTTTGATGCTTCCGTATTCTGAATCAGACTAACTAGGGAATCCTTAATGATTATTCTTTTCAGATATCTGTCAGTTAAGCACTTGAGTCTTTAATACAAACGAGAAAGTGAAACAGAAAAATGTGGATCGAATTTTGAACCGTCCTTCCCCTCATAGAAAAAAACTCTCATCTTCAGAGCCCATTGTTTCAGACGCTTCTCAATCGCATATCAATAACTTGGGTTACAAATTGCCCCGAGGGCATGCCAAATTCTATCGAATATTTTGTATTAAACAATATTCTGAAAGACTCTACCCGAAGGAGGAATAGAGGACATTTAGCGATGACTAACGGCATTAGACGACATGGTAATCCCCCTCTTTCCCAAAGGGACTACTTTGCGTTAAATTGTCAAATATATCAGTATTTATCGAAGCGTCATTTCATTTGGAAGACAATCCAGTGCAATAAGCAGAGTTCATGGCATGGTTAACCACCTTCCCATTTTTAAACTTATATTAAGTAATTATAAAAATATTTTAACAAATTATTTTTCGTTCATTTCTGTTTTTCTACTCTATGAGTCACTGCCGATAATAAATTACATATTGGCATATAACCCCGGGAAGATTTCGAGTTTAGGAAGTGTGAACAGTCGTTTCCAACATCATAGAGTGTGTCTGAAAAGATGACCTCATGTGAAACAGAACGTAACCACGATGAAACCAAGTGTATAGACTTACGAAAACACCCCGCCATTGATGGAGCTAATCCGAAAAATCAAACTAATTGTCTCTGGCACAATGATAAACTGACATTAGAGATTTACGGAATTCCCAGCGTGATTGTACGCGTTTCTGATCGTTTTTTTCTAGTGTGAAAAATCTGTTGGCTACATGTGTGAAAAGATGTGTTAAACTGACGCCTGGAGTCAATACTAGCATCTAAGTTCTGTTTGAACGGTCTTTGGATATATATTTATTCTCGAAAACTGAGAAAAATAGTATCTATGGTTTCTTTAACTCTGTTATTGTATTTACTGTTTATATTGTTTATAGTCCATGTTATCATGTCGTTTTCAAAACTTTATCTTCAATAGACATATGATTAAGATAAATCGCAGATGGGTGGATGATTCATGTAATGTGTGTGGTTTCAACAAACAACAACAGACAAACAAACAAACAAACAAATACAAAAATACAAACAAAAGTACGACAATATAATCCAGTGAAATGACCCTCGTGGGGTGTCTTCGTAAAGAATTAACACTTCATATTTATACAACGTGGTATGTAATGTTCAAGATATAATGCACCAAATCGAAATTCAAAACTCAAACCATATAGTACTGAATTCGTATAATGATAATTGAAGTAAATGATACCAAACCAAGAAATTACCTTATCTTCTGTTCGAGATATTAACAGCGAGAAAAATACAAAGCTACGCTACGATTACGTCACAATGGCGTCCCCATCCCCATATGTGATGGCTTTTAAAATTAAAACTAATTTCTCTCGTTTGATTAAACTTGAATGACACTAGGGAGATTGGTCATCTTTCTAAATAAATTATTCACTGTTTTTACATCAATTATTTGCGAAAATAATGACCGCGCTGGACAGGCATGATCGAAACATCTGTCGTAGAGACGCATCCCAAAGACTGTCCATGTGGTTGTCTTTGGGGGCTAATTATGAAGAAATCACAATGAGCGTAATTTGACTAATCGTATGGATTTCTTAGTTTTACGCTACTAATTTTGAATGATACAGAACCTTGATGATGCCAATTCAATTAATATAAAGTTAATTCTAGTTGGGTCGAGCAGGAGTAGCATATTGAAATCAAAACAGGAAATAATTATTCAATCAACAGACCCATGAATTCATAAGACAGTCGCCATCCATCTTATAATTGGTACAATTAATTATGATTTCTAAACAACTAATGAAAAACATATAACTCAGAGGAATATCAGACAAATAAAATATGAGATAAGGGAATGTAGGTAGGATTGCCCAATCGACACATGGTTACGTATTAAGTATATATATTTAAAATTAATTATGTATATAACTTAAATATGACGGATATCCATGGCTTTTCCTAGATCAATAAAGATACTTTAATTTGTTTCATTATATGAGACGTCAATCTGATATAATCACGTATTAAGGAAATATTTACTTATATATTTGACTTAGAGTACTGGCTGATCAATAGTTCGTGTATAGAATATCAAATCAATCATTGTAGATGTCTCTACCTCAATTGCTGACCACACTGCCATCTATAAAATAACTGGATGAGTGTTTCAATTTTTTTCTAATATTCTTTTCATTGCTCTTGAATTTGTCAAAACTTAATATAATTAGCTTCGAGTGTGAGACAAGGAAAGTTCTATGGCAGTGTCATTTAAGAGACATATTATATATAATATAAGGTTAAGCTTTTGTCCAAAAACTGGGCACCAAATTAACCCTCCTTTTACGTAACAAATGTATATTGCATTTGGTCACGTGATATACAAGCTAAATTCTGTCTAAATAAAAATTATATTCTTTCATATGAACTTCATTGTGATGTTAAAATATCTTTATTTTTAAAAATCGTTATTAATAGCTAGTCTCCATCTTATTGGAATGATAAAATTTGAGCGGCCAATACCAGTCTTTGTACCAGGAATCATTGATTTACTTTAGCTCGCTTGCACAATCAAATGGTTCTTTTCTAGGTCAAGCAAGTATTAATTATATAATATGTAACAGTGTTTGTATTGATGCACACCGTACTTATCCCTCTGTGTGCCATTATTATAGAAGTAAATATCAAAATTACGTACTTTTTAGTTCAATGCACAGTTCCTCGAAGGCCCAAACACCATTTGGAATAAATATTGTATTTTGATGGCGATTGTTGACCCCTACTTCATTAAGGTATTGTTAATGTACTATTGTCGTAAACTGAAAACACAAAAGGAATACAAATAGGTTTAATTCCATAGTTATACATGTAATTACAAATGTCACCTTTTAGAAAAAGCAAGCTGCACAATTACATCTAATTATTATGAATTTATCACTTCAAATGATAATCATAAACTGTCATGTGTGGCGCCTCCGTTGTTAGGAAAAAATTATAACAACGACTATAACTCCACAAGTTGCGCATCTATATAGCAATGAATGAATAAACCAATATTGAAATGAAAAGTGCTTCGGTCAGACGTAATTCCAATTCGTGTCAGATTGTGACTGACAGATAATGAGGAGAGGCTTTATGAATAAGCGCAATATACAAGAAGTATTACAAGAGATAATGGCCAGAAAGAGTATGGAATACAAGAAACATAAACCAGATCAACTCAACAATGACTTTTAAGTATCGTTTCCATTAGTTTCATTTTGCTTCTTTTATGACAAGAGGGCTACATCAACTCATACACTCGGTCCTGATCATCGGAAAACTATTTGAGCTTCAAAAATATTCCATTTATATGGTCACGGGAATAGGAACAATTCATATGTCGATCCATTGGCATATCTGTCACCAAGCAAGATATATAGTGAAAATATGTACATTGCTAACTGCAAGCCTCTGTGACCCCCCCCCCCCTTTACTTGACTAAACACTTCTCATAGCTTGTTGGCAAGGACAGGGAGCTAGACTCGTGAAAATGCATCAACAATGCAAAATAACCCCCATTCGATGAACATCCAAAACTGACACCCTTTATAATTCTATGTTTATGATTTCGTATTCGTAACTTTGATGGTACGACATTAATTCATCTTTTTAAGAGATACTTTCAAAACTTTTGGTTCTTTTTATAAAAAGCGTGTGAAATAAATGTTGAGTCAGCTGTTCATAAATCGATTTCAGAATGATCTTAGTGTAGACCATAGCTAATAAACTTGAAAATGCCACTACTTTCTAGAGCAAATACTTTTCAATTACTTTTCAAGAATCGGTCAGTTAATATGAATCATGATTTACAAATTGGATATATGCATCACAATTACCGCTAATGTGAATTTATTGACCAAGTTAATTTCATATTATATTGGCTGACATCTTTATAGAAATATCATAAAGGGAGATTTTATCAAAAAGCGTAAAGTAAAAGTGATAACGGTCATACACGATCGTATTATTATGCGATGTGAAAGGGAATTGCAAACAGGTCCAATCCCTAGATGATTTTATCTTAATAATTAATATATATGTCAGTTTTTTTCTGAAAAAGTTTTACTAATTAATTGTTGTATTTGATAGAAAGTCTTCAGCCACAGTGAAGTTGCTTATGTTCTTGGCGTTGTGCATATGCATTTTATAACGATGTCATGGGCTTATTTTATATTTTATATTTTCATATTTATTTTCTTATTCTGTAAATGTTGTAATTTTTAAAATTTAAAATGATGTATGTACTCATCTTTAAGGTGGAAATAAAGAAACATAAACATATAACATTATTCATCGTGATATCTCACGAGAATAAAGAAATACAGATTAGGTTTTCCATACAGAAGACATACTATGTATTTTCATGAAATCATTTTGCGGAATAGTTTTTTTAAAGGGTATCCCTATTTTTGATACCCTGTATACTTAGACCTTTTGACACCAATTTAGATTATTTGATATTTCTGATCCCACATACACCAATTTAGATTATTTGATATTTCTGATCCCACATACACCAATTTAGGGTATTTGATTAACCAATTTGGGGTATATGAGACTCAGGGCCTCTTTAATATCGATTTTAAAACCACGATACACAATTGTTGTCTTGAGCGCTGAATGTAGTTCCAGGGTGAGTTGTTTTTTCAAAAAGCATCGGGGATTTTGTATTTTAGTTTTCAGAAGGAAGAACTTGATCATGAATCCCGGGGGCCAGAGCCATAGTGAATGAAGCTCTATGCATAATAAAAAAGTTAAACAATTGGAAAGGATACCGATCGTATAATGTCACGCCGAGGTCCTGAAATTGGCAACAGCGAGACTGACATCAAGCTTTAGGAGTAGGTCACGATGACCGATCTCTGGAATTCAGTTAATGAAAGATACGTCAAAACCAATCCCTTAAAGTCACACATAACGAAAAAATCATCCATGCGTGGCTGTAATTTTATCTCCTTTTTTATCAACTCAGAAATATAATATTTTGTTTATTTCTCAACATCTGTGAAAACTGACATCCTTAAGCCAGATCTGACTATTCTGACATCACCGTGCTGACATCCACTAACTACTATTGAATGCTTCCGGTCTCTATTAAAACGGAATAAGCCTATGCACTATAAATTTCAATTATCGTTCGATTATCTATAACATAATAAAAAATGTCCCCTAGAGATAATAGTCCCCTTTTAATGGCCCTTACGGACACCGATCGAACAAATACAGAACATACTTGTAGTATCTAGGTCAATGGGGGGGCAAATAGGATCAAATAAATTTACTCTCAAGAAACTACTAGATATTGTGCTCTAGAGGAACACCGTGTTGATATACAGAATATGAAATTACGTGACAGGAAAAACCACAATCACGTCCCGCTGGAATATTGAACTAACGGAAAACATAGCTCCCATGGCTTAAGCACCTGCAAGAGCAATGACGTCACACATTGCGTGACCATTTACCTGTCTTAGTTATATAATAACTTGGAAACATGCAGAAAATAATTTGCAAAGACGCCAGCCTCTTTGAATTATCAATAATTGCAATGAATAATTACTTGATGTTATAGCTGTTGCCCCGTTATGAATTCACTCATGAAATATAATTGTCTCATTGAAATGATGTTCATTGCACGCTATAGGTATGAAGGGCAATGTTCAAACTAGAAGCTACTAGGCAATACATATACTGTAACTTTGTTCATTCGATACCCTTTGCATTCGTTTGACTTCACTTCTTAAAAGAGAGCTTCGTCTAGTTTAACTAGATTCTGCACGCAGGGTATTCATTCGACTCCCTACAACTAAGGGAAGACCAAGTTTGTGAAGATAGGTGATATATTCACATGTTCAGTTATCGTATACAACAACAGGACTTATTATTCCACAGTAATTAATGTCTCTTTTTATACGAAGTATTAGAGTCTATTAAGACAACTGGTCATATGTATATTACATGCACACCTGAACGCAGGCTTCAGGTGTTCATTAAACGCCCAGCTCCCTCGATACCCTGCGCGCAGTCTAGTTAAAAAGAGTGAAGACGAAGCTTTCTTTTAAGAAGTGAAGTCAAACAAATGCAAAGGGTATACTCTCTCGACCTTCTCGAGTTCGCGAAAGATGTCTTGCTATGTTCACTCCAAGATGGTACGCACATGACCTTGCCGCGGGGAATGATCATTTTATATGAAAAATCGGTTGAATATGAAATGATGCTGCCAAAATTGGCATAATTTCGAAGATTTATACCTACTGATAAGATAAGGCAATACCCCAGAATTCATAAGATGACTCTCTACATGCTATCTTTATATGGAGCTAGGTTCTTCTAGGAATTATGGGTCATTCCCTCCACTGCGGACTGATCATGAAGTGTAATATATTATCGCTTTCAAATATAATTTTTTCAGTTTATGATTTCAAATTTATCTCCTACCCATATTGCATCGACGTATTGTACTTCCATAACATACCAGAACTAGATATATTAGCTTAATAACGGAAATAGATGTTAGTGCGCAAGAGACAAGGTTGTTTTCTTTATTTTTTCAGCATTTTTATTTTGTAAATGTTGTCGTGCCATGTCAGAAAATTAACCTCGAACCTCGGGTGGTGGCTCTTGGCACGTAGAAGTGCTTAGAAGCTCTACAATCCCCAATCTCCTATGGTTCCATCGACAACCAGTGAACAACGCTTGTTGGACGCTGCGAGGGAGATTGAGTGTTCGCAGTACGATGTCTGAATCGTTTAGCGCTTGTCAATCACTTGAGTAAAAACACCTTTGCTTCTATCGAGATTCAGCCTGCTTTGGGAAGTTGGAATATGCCTAGAATTACGAGACTGTTAAAAACGACATGAAAACACAGACATCGAGTATCCGAGGTGAAGTCCGCCTACTGTGAGGACTAAGATAAAATGGATAAAAAAGGATAACGTAGTAAGGATGCAGGTATAAGAGTGCCAGATGCATTAGAATGAATGTTCATGCCAAATACAAGATTTAACCCCATGTACCCGAACTAGCAATCAAATGAAAATATGCTTCACAGTGTGTAGATTATATGGTTTTTAAAGTGCCAATATTTTTTATCCTAAGGTACCACGATTGAAGGCGGGACTGAAGGTACAATGGTGTACTATTCCTAATAATGTGATTTTGCTTCATTTAAAAAGAGCTACATCTCCATGTAATGTACTAGGCTCCGACATCCAACTTGGCCTATAGATATTTTGAGAACACTCGACCCCTTTAAGGGTAATCAAACACATTCAACCATCCATCAATAAAACCATTACCATTTAATATTTATAATTGTCCCTTTTCAAAGTGGAACAATAATCGTCACATGAGGTACCCAATGTCCGAACTATTTTGTTTTATTTAAGTTTCACGTTGAATGATTTATAAAATTGAACAACTCCTCTTAGCTGTGATGGCTGACACGCCAACAAAACAGCAATAAAGTCCTTCATGATGGATTTCAATATAAAAAATCCATTGGGCTCTCAGGAACAATAACTGGCAATTCGAGAGCCTCATTGTTTTGGGGATCGCTCTCGCAACACGCTTTTGGCGCCTAACCTACACGTGGTTAAAAGAAAATGTTCAAGTATTAGTCCAAAAAAGGACACCCTGCACGCAGATTCTAGTTATAAACTACTGAAGATGAAGCTCTCTTTTAAGAAGTGAAGTCAAACGATTGCAAATGGTAAAAAAGGAATAATTGCATTTTGAAATGCCAAAATGATTTAATAAATATCTATACTTAATTCCC